GCAGCTAGCTGCAGCTGCAGCTGGCTCTGAGTGACTGCACCCAGGTTTGAGTGGCTAAAGCTAGCCGAGAGCTGCTGCAGCTAGCTATACGTGGCTGCAGCTAGCTATACGTGGCTGCAGCTAGCTATACGTGGCCGCAGCTAGTTGATGTGTTGTGGCTAGCTGCAGCTAGCTGCTGGCTAGCTGTGGGCCCCTCTGTGTAGATGTAGCTAGCTGCAGCTCGCTCTAGAGACGGCAGCGGCTGGCTGTAAGGGGCCGCAGCTGGCTGCTGCAGCTAGCTGCGGGCTGCTGCAGCTAATTGCGAGCTGCTGCAGCTAGCTGCGAGCTGCTGCAGCTAGCTAGCCACTGGAGCGTCTCGGACTTTGTGGCTGTTGTGGCTGAGGACTAATGGGGCTGTGTCTGTCTTCTCGCTGGCTTGTCTTTATTTAAAAAGTGGCATTTATGATTTATTTTACTTAAACAAAAAACACAATTAATTTAATTTCACTTGCTGCAGAAAAAATAGCTGCGAAGACAAGAGCTGCTGCTGCTCGCCGCCGTGGGGTTCTCACTAGCCCCGGCAGCCGCCTCGGCAATCTTTGCTGCTGCTGCCTCGAATTTAATTCTTTTAATTCCTTTTTAAATTGCATGCATTTATATTTAATTTTTGGAGATCTTTTCGCAATTATAAATCTCTTGTGCGCCTCTTAAGAATACAAGCGGGCGCAGCAGCAGACACAACGAGCAGCAGCGGCTGCTGCAGAAGCCGCAGCGGCAGGGCCAGCAACAGCGAAAGCGAGGAACATACTGTGGCAGCAGCAGCAGCGGCTGCTGCTGCACCAGAACCGCAACAGCCGCAACAGCAGCCAGCAGCAGCAGCAGCAGCAGCAGCAGCCGTAATGCGGGCAGATCAATTGAAAGGGGCCACCGCTAGGCGGGGCCTTATGCACAAAGAGACACTTCTCGCCTAAAAGTTGACATGGCCGCAGCAACAGCAGCAGCAGCAGCAGCTGTTGCTGCTGCTGCTTCTGCTGCTGCGGTTCGTGAGTCCAGGACCCAAATGGCACAGCGACAGCAGCAGGGCAGCAGCAGCAGCAGCAGAGAGCAAAAGGCAGCAGCTTTGGCGCAGCAGCAGGAGCAGCGGCGCCTCAGCAGCTTATGCGGCGTCTGCAGCTGAACTGGAGTCACAGCCGCAGCAGCAGCTGCAGCAGGGGTTCCTCTTTGCTGCCACGGACTGAAGGGATGCTGCTGCTGCTGCTGCACATTCTGCTGCTGGTACCCCCGCAGGCAGGCGGGGTTACCTTCCCGAGCAGCAGGAGCCGCAGCAGCAGAAGTTGCAGCAGCAGGAGCTGCAGCAGCAGCCTCTACATCAGCAGCAGCAGCAGCGCAGCAGGGTTGCTTGGAGGCCTCAGTTCTCTCAGCAACTATGCTGCAGCAGCCGGCAGCAGCAAAAATGTACTCTTGGGGTTTGCCCTCCCCACCGTGCTGAGGACGCGAAACTCAGACAGCAGCAGCAGCAGCAGCAGCAGCCGCAGCAGCAGCAGCAGCCGCAGCCGCAACAGCAACAGCAGCAGCAGCAGCAACAGCAGCAGCAGGTTCCCTTGTCGGCGCGGTGGGGGAGTGGATGCTCTTAATGCTGTTACAGAGAGAGGTGCAGCAGACAGAGGGCAGCAGCACCTCCAGAAGCAGCAGGAGTTGCTGCTGCAGCGGCAGCGGCACTGGCGGCTGCAGCAGCAGCTGCAGCAAAAGCAGAAGCCGCAGCAGCGAAAACGGCGGTCGCGAAAGGAAGAAGAGCGTAGCGCAGCAGCTGCTGCTGCACCTGCTGCTGCGGCGTCCCTTGCTGCCAGTGCTGCTGCTGCTGCTGCTGCAGAAGCAGCAGAACGGGATGCTTTGTTTGCTGCTGCTCTTTACGAGTCTGTAGAGGCAGCGCAAAGCCCGCGCGAGCTGCTGCAGCTGCTGCTGCTCTTTGGAGACGTTTCTGCTGCTCCTGCTGCTGCCAGAAGCAGCAAGCCGCTGCGCCACGCCTCTCTGCTGCAGCAGCAGCAGCAGCCGACAGAGCAGCAGCTGCTGCTGCAGCAGCACCAGCGGCAGCACCAAAAAATAGCCAACGCCCTTGCAGCAGGAGACACAGAAGCACTGCAGCAGGAGCCTTCTTTGCCGCTGCCGCTGCTGTGTCGCTGCATGCAGCGGCTTGCGCAGCTGATGCAGCAGCAGCAGACGAAGCAGCAAACAGCCCTCGCCATAAGCAGCAGCAGCAGCAAGCAGCAGCGGAAGATCTTGGCCCAGTGTCTCACGCGGCTGCTGCAGGAGGTGTCGCTGCATGCTGCTTTCTTTCTTTACCCGCAGCAGCAGCAGCAGCAACAGCAACAACAGCAGCAGCAGCGGCAAGAGAGGCTTTCTTTGCTGCTTTCTATAGCGCGTTCCCTTTATGATTCTGGCCTTGCAGGAGCCCCTCGCCGACAGCGGCAGCAGCAGCAGCAGCAGCAGCAGCAGGCGCTGCCGCCAGCGGTGCAGCAGCAGCTGCAGCCACTGCTGGCAGCAACGGAGCTGCTGCTGCGGCGCGCAGTGTACGTACACATTGAGACGCTGCAGCCGCAGCAGCTCTGCGAGGTTTTGCTGCTATTCGAGTCCCTCCGCAGCAGGCAGCAGCAGCAGCACGAGCTGCTGCAGCAGCAGCAAGGAGTGCGGGTGGTGCAGCCGCGGCAGAGGCTGCACACGCCCTTGCCTCTATGGAGCAGCGCAGCAGCAGCAGCAGCAGCTCTGCTGTTTCGTGCTGCAGTGCGAGACGAGCTGCACTGGAAGCAGCAGCAGGAGCAGCAGCAGGAGCAGCGGCAGCAGCTGCAGCTGCAGCAGGAGCGTGACTCTGCTGCAGCAGCAGCAGCAGCAACTCGGCTGCACTGGGTCTCCTTGTCTTTGCATGCATTTGCTGCCCTCAGGGGCAGAGATGGCCTCTCTCCCTCGGAGTCAGCTTTGCTGCTGCAGCGCTTTTTGCGGCTGCTGTCGAGACACAAGTCAGCAGCAGCAGTAGCAGCAGCAGCAGCAGTCACGCCACACCAGCAGCAGAAGAAAGAGCAGCAGCAGCGACAGCCAGAAAGCAGCAGCTGAGTTAGCGCACCATTCTTTAGCAATCGCGCAGCATTGGTGCATGCGTAGTACTGCTGCTGTTGCTGCTGCTGCTGCTGTTGCTGCTGCTGCAGTGTGTCGGACATATCGGCAAGCGTCTCCCTGCGGCTGCTGCATGCGGCGCAGCAGCTGGGGCTGAGGGAAGCTTCAGCGCTGCAGCAAATGGCAGCAGCAGCAGCAAGGCACTCCGAATACTGGAGAAGTGGCAGCAGCAGTTCGCAGCTTTTCAGGCTGGTGGGTCCTGCTGCTGCTGCTGCTGATGGTGCTGCTGTTGTTTTTGCTGCGCGTGAGATTGCAGCAGCTTCTGCGGGGGCCATTGGCGTGTGTCCATTGCGGCTGCTTGGACTGCTGCTGCTGCTGCTGCTGCTGCTGCATTTGATACGTGTCCCTGCAGCTGTGCTGCTGCTGCTGCCTCTGCTGCTGCCACCGCTGCTGCTGCTGCACCTGCTGCTGCTGCTGCTACTGCTGCTTTGTACAGGTAGCATCGCTCAGCCAATTGTCTGTCTCCCCAAGCGGTGGCTTTCTTGCTGCTCTTCTTGAAGGCATCATTTCGCGCATTCCGCCTGCTGCTGCTGCTGCACCTGCTGCTGCTGCTGCTAACACAGGCAGCAAAAGAAATGCCACTTGGAGTGCTGAAGAGCTAGCAGCGCTGCTGCGGTGAGCTAAACTTCTGCATGCTGCTTGCAGCAGCAGCAGCAGCAACAGACGCAGCAGCAGGCAAGACGGCAGCAACTGACACAAGTAAGTTGTACACACGCCATTTGTGTCTGCTGCTGTTGCTGCTGCTGTTGCTGCTTCTGCTGCAGCTTCTTGGCGGTCATGGACGTCTTTCCCGAGCGGCTTTATGCGAGGGCGCTAGCAGCGCCGATTTGGGGGTCCTTCGTCCAGTCCCAGCAGCAGCAGCAGCAGCAGCAGCAGCAGCAGCAGCAGCGGCAAGATCAGCAGCACGTGTCTTCGCAAGCATACAGTGTGAGTTGTGTGGTCTTCACTTTTCGCCTCTGCCATGCTTTTGTGTGCTTATTTCGACCCACGCTGCTGTTGCTGCTGCTGCTGCTGTTGCTGTTGCTGCTGCTGCTGCTGCAGGCTTACGACCAAGAGCAGCGCCCAGCAGCTGCAGCGGTGTACTTGTACGAGGCTCTTGTCGCACGTTACATCCACCTGCAGCAGCAGCAGCAGCAGAAGCAGCAACAGCAGC